TTATAGACCTCTATCATATCCCCCCTCAGTGTTAAGCACTCAAGTAACTTTTCCTTGTCTCTGCAATTGTTCACTACTTTTGCTTGACTTATTAACATTTTAAAATGTTTTGAGTCTCGTATACTAGCAGATTTTCTTGCCATAGGTACATTAAGAAGATAACCAATGTTATCAGCCAGAGGGCTGAATGAAGATTACTAGCCCCACAGTTTCTTCTCGCATGCAAACATTGAGAGAGACCTTAGGCAAGTCTCTTAAGGCCTTGTCTACACTAAAGAGTTTTGTTGATAAAACAGTGAAGGAATACACACACGTGACTGTTGATGGAAAAAACACCCTTCTTTTGGTGACAAAATAAAGCCATCCAGATGAGACACAAGACTTTTTGTGTAAAATTGTGTCAACTAATTGCTAGTGTAGACATAACACTGGATTCTATGCTTAGTGGCTTCTGGGAGGTGTCACACAATGCCCATCCTGAGCACTCTGGGCAGCAGTTTGAACTCCACTATTCTGCAGGCAGGTAAACAACCATCCACTTCTCCCTCTTAGAAGTGCTGGGAATTTTTGAAAGTCACGGAGGAGCAAATGCAGTTGCTGAACTCTTTAATAATGCTGCAGATGGAGCAGATGCAGGCCCACCCTCCCCTACAGGACATTCATAACTCTTTTATGTGCCTCTAAACTCTGCCTACACAGTGCTTTCCATTACACAAGACATCCTAGTTTCCACTTCACTCTACCCCCTAAGATAATTAGCAAAGTGACAGATGGACCAACACACAGCTCTAAAAGTCTGTGCCTTCCTAGTACCTCCTTTCCCATCAAGCATCAGTTTCTTGTGCAATAAAAGCAAAGTTTTTGAACAGTAATTGATCTTTGTTTCCTAGAAATTGAGGTAGCAGGCATTACAAAATACAAGTATTGGGAACAACAAGGAGTCCCGTGGCACCTTATAGACTAACAGATGTACCGGAGCATAAGCTTTCGTGGGCAAAGACCCACTTCGTCAGATGCATGCATCTATAAGGTGCCACGGAACTCCTTGTTGCTTTTGCAGATCCAGACTAACATGGCTACCCCTCTGATATGCAGGAAGTTTAATCATTTGCTTACTGGAATGTACAGCCCCGATTTTCCCCATTGTTTTCTAGGAAAATTACATGTAATGTAACATTGCAGCATCAATCACAGAGATATGCCTTACTGGTTCTCATTTTCAAAGTGCTGCCTCAAAGCTTCCCTGATTTGACTTGCCCCACTGTGAGCCCTTTTGATAGACCTGGCAACTCACTGCTCAAAATCAGCAGCCAAGAGTTATTCCTCAACACTCCACCCTGGAGCAAACCTTTTGCCCTGAACATCTCAAAGATTAACAATGTACCATATGTAGCTATGACCATGGGAATATTAACCTCACTGACGTCTAACCTGCATAAAGACATCACCAGCGTGCCTTTAATCTGCAAAGACAAATTCCACTGTCATATGGCATCTTCTCAGCCTGTTGTTGAACTACTCCTGACAGCTGCCCAAATTCTCCAGTTAAGGTTTCATGAGCTATGGCTATAAGGAGTATACTGGATCTCCCATGACCGCAATTGGCATTTCAACCTCCCCCACTTCACTCTTCTGGTCTGAAAAGAAGGTCCCAGCTTGTAGATTTCTATACAGGCCATGTTCCTGAAGATGTGTGTGTCATGCAACTTCCTAGACCAGCCTGTGTCAATGTCAATGAAACATCCACAGTGTTCTAGAAGCACCTGCAATATCATGGAGAAGTACCTCTTTCTATTGATAATACTCCATTGTAAGGTACTCTGGTGCCAAAATTGGAATATATGTGAGCTATCATCACTCCATGGTTAGGGAAACCCATTTTTGCAAAGCCATCCTCTATTTCACACATTTCCCAGAGTCATGGCCCTTTGTGGCAGGATGTGATTATGTACATTTGCATTAATGCAACCCCTGCAGTTGATTTCTCAACGCCAAAATGATTTGCAACTAACCAGTAGAAGTCTGGAATTTAGGGATGTTAGCTATCGGGTAACTGAATAGTCAAGTAACCACATGAAATCTCAGTGGTTACTAGATTATTGTATAGTCTCTGGGGATGAGGCCGGCAGCCAGTGCAATCCAGCCCCACTCCCCAGGAGTCCCCCGTCACCCCACGCTGCCTTTGTATAAGAGGCAACAGCGCGGGGTGCCAGGCAGAGACTGGTCTGCGAGCGGAGGCGGTTTTTAAAGGACAGCAGCCCATCTGGAGGGGGTCCGAGCTTCCCATGGACAGAGGCTGCTGCCGGGGGGGGAGGGGGGTTCAAAAATAGAAACTCTCTTTATTTAACAAAACTGGGGCGGGGGAGGGGGGAGAATGCATGTAGTCAAGAAGATTAACCAATAAGCCTAGTAAGCCTAGGCTTATTGGTTAATCGTATACTAAACTAATCATTTATATCCCTATTGGAAATGATTGTCACGTGTTTCTCTACCAACAGGGCAGTTTTTATTCTGGTTTCCTTGTGCCAGAGTGCTGGGGTAAGCTTTGTACACTGTTCCAGGACAGTGGTTTTCTGCATTCAAAAGTTCTGTAGCCACTGCTCATCATCCTAGATCTACATGACAATACAATCCCACCATTCAGGGCTTGTTTCTTAAGCCCAAAAGTAATGATCCACTGTATGAAGATGTTCTCTGAATTCCAAAAGCAATCTAAAAGATGATCCATATCCATATCGCACACCATGTCAGGCAACTGGGAGTTTTCTTCAGTTAGGAACTTTTTAATTAACTTAACTGTCATTAAGACATTGACGATGGTAATAATCAGAACATAGGAAAGCAGTGTGTGATCCATTTATTTTCACAAAGATGCCGGGGTGCACAGCACACAAGGACTTGAGAAGCAAAAGCCAGAAGTCCATGGAATGCTTCAACAGCAAATTAATGCATTAGTCCATGGAATGCTGGGATATTGACCTTGGTCCTAAGATGTACCACTATCTGCTCCAGCTTTCCACAAGGCCTAATTGCAGAAGGTTTTGAGCTGGACGGTGGGATAAGTACCCACAGCACACTACCATTGACATTGTTAGCAATGCTCCAACTGTGGATGTGTTCTGCCAACGGAGGGAGCAAACATGAGCATGCAGTACCGATTTCTACTACAGCACTTTTGTGTATCAACATGACTTATCAACAAAACTCTGTAGTGTAGACAAGGGCTTAGTCTCTATCTGCAGCTCAGGAACAATACTACTTCCCTGTCTCTCAGGGGTGTTGTAAGCATGAATAACTGAAGACCATAAGATGCTCAGATACGATGGTGATAGGGTCAAGCAAAGCATTAAACATTGCCAAAGACTTGCTTGTGTCCAAATAGTATTTATCATCCCTATTCTATGACACTTAAAGTTCCAGCACATTCTCTTCTCTCTTCCCCATAAACCTCAGTGTGCTCATTAAAAAAATACAGATCTCTTCGTTACCCTTCTATTATCCTGAATATAAATGTTGAGTTATTTTATGCCTCTTACATTTTATCTATGGGCCAATATGGCTATATCTAAAAACTTATGTTTGTTAGTTTTGCATGCAGCTTCTATACTTTTTCAGTGTTTTAACTTCCTAATCAACAGCTGGATTATATAAGGGCAGAATTATTCTAATGAGCTGCTCAAACTGAACACTCTCCCTGAAAGTAATTTCTGTTTACATTAGTGTTCTATTCATGTTACTATATTACTAGCTAGGTATGCTTTTATGTGAAGGATACATTTGCTTTCCAACTGCATAATACAATTTACCTGCACCTAAAGAACAGACAATTGTAAAGTTCAAACAGGAGTTAGAGGGCTAAGTATGTACCATTTTCTACAGGAATCATGCTCATAAGAATTGAGTTAGATTATACTATTTTCTTTTTCTTATATTCCTGTAGGATCTCTCATTCCAAAGTTCTTTAACAAATGTAAAGGCCAAATGTACAAACTGTAGCGATGTCACCATTGAAATGCAGTAATCAGCAATATTATACAGAAATTTAATATGGGAAGTGAAGGATAATTAACTGAAATTACAAAAGCAATGTAAGGATAATAGAATGTGATTACCTGAGTTGGAATTTAGTCATGAAACCTTTATTTTTTGCAAGTACCGCTATTATTGGCTCTTTAATAACACAAAGTAGTCAGGGCCTTAGTTCTAGGTCTCTTTGAAGGATGGTACCTCCAGCAGCACAGCACCTTTATCCGTCATACTAGGGTCCACTTTAGTACTGGTTCACCAGGAAGACTGCTGTGCAATCTGCCAAGTCACCAACAATCCTGCAGCACTTACACGTTCAATAGAGGTCTCCCATCCAAGCAGTGCGGGGCTTCCCCCTCCCCCCCCCCCCTTTTTTTTTAGTCAAAGAGCAATGTGGTCTTATCTGTGTTACAAAAACATACTGACAGTATGTTATCCATAGATATTGAGTGAGTAGTACGTACACCGTTTTGACTTTTTCAGGATTCTGTAGTGCCCTTGTCTGTTGATTTCCACTCAGTCTTATTAGGCTTGATCCAGTTCAAATAGAAGCCTCTCCATCAACTTTAATGACAGTTGGAGTAGGCTGTTAGTGCAAAAGAGGTGGAATGATCTATCAGGCTAAATAAAAATGCTCAAGCACATGTAGCCTGTGAGCATTCATATTAGGCTGTATGCTAAAAGATAAGGAGGAAAAAAATTGCCCAAGGTAAACAGAATCTTGTGCAAATTATTTAATCTAGTAATATTACTTTTAATTTTGCTGAAAGTATCAAACTTCAGACCACACTTGGGTGATGTATTTCATTCAGTTCTGCTGTGATTTTTATCTACAATATACTGAAACAAGCCGTGTTTAAAAAATCATGTAAATCAAGAGACTATAGTAAATGGAAGATTAAGGCATGACAACAAAACAGTGTCAAACCACACACAGACACACACACAGACACACACACACACACAAATTGAGATGAGCACCCAAAATAGCAAAATATATTTGAGTAATACTATTACAACACAAATATTCATTTACAGAATCTAAACCATATAATTAAAAAAAATCTCCATAAACAAACATTCTAACATTATTTATAAACAAGGAATTTCACCCAATTATGCTATCCACTGCAGGCAACAAACAGAAAATGCCTTCCAAGCACTCAGGTTTAACACACTGTTATATTATCACCTTGCAAACTGAAGGAAAGCGAAATAATAATAATAAAAATCCTAGGACATATTTTAACTGAAGACAAGACAAAACCAAAACCAAAACCAAAACCACCAAAGCACAAAGAAGTGGGAGTAAATAAGTGATAGTGCAAAAATTAAAAAAAAGGAAATGGATTCATCCTGCATTTAGTCAGAGAAAAGCATCACTGAATATTGGCAACACTTATTCCATTTCAAGACATTGTCATCAGGAGTCAGTGCATCTGTATGTTTTAGCAAGTCATGTCCTATAAAGGTGGTAACAAATGTAAACCAAGCCAATATAAAGTGAGTCCACAGCTGTGATAAAAATACACGCTTATTGAATGAGTTGCTAAAGATAAAGTGAGAAGTACCTGTGAATCTTGAGTCACCTTCTGGCTCCATATTGCTCCTTCCTAAGCATTTGCTCACGTGATACTCTTTAATATCAGATTTAAACAGCATCTGATGGCATCAAGATTCAAATACAGCCCCAACCATGCACCAGGATTACTTTGGGCAGAGTTTCATTTATGACTCTCAAAGAGGTCTGGTTCCATGCATCCTATAGCAGGTCTAAGACTTACAATTGCAGATGTTCCTAAAATTACTTCTGCTTAACAGTAAGCAGGTCACAGTTCCACAGGAGTGTCCCACATAGTCTATGCTCCACTATCTGTCAATAAAACAATAACTTGAGGTACCATTTTTGCCTGTCTATTCCTGACCAATCTTAGGGGTAAGTCATTGCCTCATGCAATTTCTGATGTATTATCTGCTCCAGACGGGTTTGCAGCCACATGTAAGTTAGGGCATGGCCCTATAATTGAGCGGATGCCACAACACCTCTAGAGAATTCCAGCTGCACCTGCCAATTGTGGCACCTGTACAGAGAGCCAGCCACAGATGTATGGTTCACTAAGGAGTTCTTCAGTCATTGGTGCTGCTAGGCAATGGGACTTGGAAGTTAGTGCCACTCAGAATTAATGTGTTTGAGTTCTGAAAGCTCCCTACCCCTATGGATATTGTTTAATTATAAACAAACAGTCAACATGTTCTTTTGGACAATAAGAAATGAAGATTCCAGACAAAAAGCCTAGTTAATATGGCTATAAACAAATCTTTACATTTAAAACTGCATTATTAGAATACTATTGTCATTTTTAAAAGACTGAAAGTGAGGGACTTTTGAGTTCAAATTAAAACATGGGTAACTGAAACTGAGGAAATTAGAATATTGTAGTTAAAACACATGGGAAAAATCTAGAGACACTCAGTTAAGTTTCCAAACACCAACTTTACCTTTGCCTTCTTGATCAATTGCATCCATCCTGTATCTATTTTTCAGCTACAAGCTGAAGACCATCCCCACTATCCTAGTGATAACCCAACAGGTAACTGTAAACCCACCCACTAAGAGGCAGAAGGCTCAGCCCTTCCTTTGCCTTCCGGTACATGCCCCAGCAGACATTATTTGGCATATTACCCTCTGTCCCTTCCCATCATTGTACTATACACTGGCTTTCCCACATTAGGCCATTCATGCTTCCAGCATAGATCAGAGAGCTCACATTTTCATAGGCAGACAAAATATCAACATATGGCCACAGACTTCCAGTACATTCTCCAATGATGGGCTCCAATTCTGGTTACAAGGATGAAAGCCAGTTCATTGTAGAACAGAAGAATATACTGATAATGATATATAATGATATAGTTCATATAAACACATTTTTTCCAATTGCAACTAGAGATTAAAGGATCTCTCATCAGTCCATAATGGATAAGAGTCAAGGCTGGTGATGAAATCAACAATATTTCCAGATTTATGTTTATGTTTTGTTAAACTGCAATGTTCTAATTTCTTGACTTGGAAATGTTTGTGTTGTAATTGCCATGTCTTAATAATGGGAATTTAAAGATACATAATTAATACGTTTAAATCTGCCATTACATAGTCTTTTGTCTGGGTACCACGAGCCATCTAGATGGAGCAGTTCATTATTGCAACCAAAGCGATTGTTACCAAAACTGCAGCCAAAATAATCATCATTTTACCAAGGCTAATAATTACATGTTTGAAGATCTCGTCCTGAGGTTTGCCACTTAGAAATAGCTGAAAAATACGTGTGTAAACTAGACCTGTAAGGTCAAGACAGTGCTTCCTGTTTTTTTGGAACTCAGTTGTCTGCTGTTGTATTGTTTACTCTTTGGAATTTCTTAGTTCTCATTATCTCAGGAATTCATTTCAGGCAGCTGAATGGAATGAATTTGATAGTTTATATGATTTGATTTATCCCTCACCCACATTAAATTACCCCACCTTTTTGTAACAAGGAGGAAATGGTGATTTTTCTTGCTAAACTAATTTGCACAACAAAGGATGATAAAGGAAATTTAGGGAAGGAGCCCCAACTTGCCAGTGAATTTAACAAACTGGGCTTTACAGTTTGAAGGAACAATGAGTTACTGTGATTGCTGGTGTGTCCAGTAATTATTACTAGAATATTTCCTCTCTTATAGGGTTTACAAATGAATATGCAACAAACTGGCAGATTATTTAAATGAGTTGACCATTAAGTTAGAAAACCCAGCAGGCTACGAGCCCTCAGAAGTCAAAGAGCTACAGAGCTCATAATGCTGTTTTCAGATGTTTAAATCAATATTACATTTCAGGCAACTTCTTTGCCTAATGTCTTATTTATAAAGTAGCTTGGATTTTGACAAAAATGCTGGGGAATGAATGATTAAGCGGATCCACCCAGCAGCCTACAACTCTTGATTTCCTGCACTTCAGGTAAAGAGGGGCTAAGAATACTGTGGTGGCAGAGAGTTCTGCCCTTTCACGGAATCTCACCTCATGTTAACCGACAAACATCTCAGACAGAAGAAGCAGTACTGACAGGTAGGTCCTCTGAAAAGAGGGATACTCGGGGCTCAGATGTTTCACTCACCAACAACAGGGAAGTAATCTCTCTGCCAAACTCCTTGGTTTCAGGTTAAGAAACAGACAATCCCTCGGTCCAAACCTACACTCAACACTACACAGGACTAGGGTCCTAAACAAAGCCAAGATTTTCCGGTAAGAAACCTTGGGGCAAGGTTACTTCCATACTTCCCATTTTGTTATTCATACATCATTTCTATATGTAAAACTCTGAATAATTTCTAAGTAGCTTCCTTTATTTTGAGTTCTTATGCAGAGGGAATAATTCGAAAGTCAAATTGATGGAAGACCACTAGATCTGATGGGACAGAACCATCCCCACAAAGCTTTTGGCACATTTATTATGCTTTATACATATTACCTCCTTTTAAAAAAATATCCCTGAAAGAGACCAAATTTATTTTGAAAAAATATTGAACATTTTAAAAACCACATTTGAAAACCTCTCTTTCTTGGCTGTCAACAACATAGTTAGTGCCACAAAATGTTCTAAAAGTTCCTTTTAATGCCCTAGGTCCACAAGGGCAACCCGTATTGTGATCAACTGAAGCTTCAGGCAGGGATTGGGAATGTTAATGTAAACAAATCTAAATATTTTTGCAACTACTTGCCTAAAGTGTTTCTTGAGTTTTTAAATGTTTGAATCTGTTCTATAATACCCTGAAAACTATCATAGAAATGTGATGGCATAATTTTAAGAGATTTGAACATTGGCTTGTTTCTCTTCCTATATTTGAAGTCTGAGAGGGATGTAACTGCTAAGTATCATTATATACGCCAAAGCTTATCAAAACCTGTTATTAGTTAGTTCTGAACACAGGCAGCTTTCTGCTTAACACATATGAACATGCAAACTATCTCCAAAGTGCATGGCCATATTTAATAAATTATATATAATTTGGTAACAAAATTCAAACATTACAATCCTATCCTAGTTTAGCATGAAACTTCCAACCCTTTGCATATACTGTAATTACTCAAAGAGATGAAGTAGTAAGGCTTCCTCCACAAACTGTTACATATAAAAAAAGCCGTAAGACAATCGAATTTTAGAGTGAGAAATTTCCCAGACATCTCATTTCTATTTATCTTTGGTTCTTAATTACGATTTGACAAGTTTGAAGCCTTGTCCTGTGTCCAGCACTGTGGGAAGAAACCAACTCATTTTTAATCTTTTCAAACATCTAAAACAAGCTTTACACAACCAGAACAGATTGAGACCACAAAACCAGTTTGCCAGATGCACCAATGGATAGGTAATACGAGGGAAGTACATCATCCAGTGTTTGGCAACGTCACTTCCTGTTGGCAAATGCAGAGTATAGTCACTCCAGCGTTTTGACACACCATACAGTGCTTTCACTGCACGGCCCTTTTCAGACCAGCTGATGTTACTGTCAGGATTACAATTGTATTCGACCCATTCTCTGGTAAAGTCACCAAGTCGTGGTGGGTCTGATTCCTCAATATCTAGCACCTTGGCAAATTCCGCTCCTTGTACTGCAATATAAAGATCATTTACTTTTCTTACTTCTTTAACCCAAGGCTGGGAGTTCTCACAGTCCAACACAATTATAAGTCGTGAACAAAAGGAACCATTCTTCTCTCTCCACCATTCCAAAAGAGTATCAAGCCGTAATGCATCGCCACCTGCAGGAAAGACGACAAATATATACATTAATACAGCTTGAACCTATGTAGTCTGGCACTCTATGGTACAGCAACATCCATGGTCTGGCATGATTTTAGTTAGCCAGATGGCCACCTGTCATGGGTGTGGCCAAGTTTTCTGTGGTCCCATAAAGTTTGTTTACAGCCACCAGTCCTGGCTTTCAGTGTTCTGTGCTGTTATTTAGCTCTAATTTACACCTGTCGTCTAAGAGCTCAGTAAGCAGAGAAAGTTTTAGTAATGCTGTTAGACAATATTGACTTCCCGTGGTCTGGCAAATTCTCTTGTTCGGCACCAGTCAGACCCTAAGGGTGCCAAAGTACAGAGATTCAACCTGTATAGTGCAATTTTCAGTTTTCAATAGTAAGCTTGTTTTAGCACTTTGTATAAAAAATTGCAGGGTTTTTCCACTACAGGAAGATGCTAACTAATCCAGCCAACTCACTGCAGCAGGTGCAATCGTGAACTCATCCTTGTTATAAGGGAGTGAGGAGCAAAATCCTTCCTATTGTGAAATAAATTAAGCAGGGCTCAGAGGCAGGTTTTAAGACTGCCTCCACGAGCATGACTTTCAGTTCTGCAGCTCAGTCCTTCTGGGGGGAGGGGAATCAAAATCCCTGCTGACAGTGGTCTTTCCAATGAATGTCTCCAGACACTTGAAACAGGATGCGTAGGGCTTGAAACCCTACAACCAAGGTATGCCCTAGTACCAGGAAAGCAGATACATCTGCACTTGGGTTATCAGGGTTATCTAAAACACTTATGTCCTAAAACTAACAACTAATCTCTAACTAATAAACTACAGCTATTTACACTAACAACTGAAGAAAACCACTAAGAGATGAAGTACTTGAGCAATGAGGGTTTCCAGCAACCATCATCAGTAAGAAGGAAGTGAAGGGAAGTGGGGTAGGCAGGGCTCTTTATGAACACATGGCAACAGAGAAAGCTGGAGTCAACTCAATGGATAATGCTGGGGGAAAAGATCTGGCAACTGTGCTAAGGAATAGACATGTGCAAGCACTTGAAGAGCCACCATTAAGCAGGGGCAGTAAGCATGCACTCAAGTTTACATTATTTTATTTGTGTTAATAAGTTCAAACTTCAGAATGGGGTATGTTTTAAATTTACACGTGTCCCATTTTAGAGCAGAATTAGTAAGCCACCTGGTCATATCCTACAACCTCAGTCCAAATGACTTTTCCAATGCAGAACATTGATATATTTACTCTAAAAGCACAACAGAATGTTTCAGTGATGTTTACACAAATTTAAATTGATTTTAAGTTACAGGTCATCAAAAGGTACTCGGATATGAAACTTTGATTTGTATGTAATGTTTGTCTGCCTCTAACTCAAAAACTACTTCTGAGTAGTGCTTCAAAACTTTCAGTATAGTTTCATCTCCTTGAAAGCTCAAACTATATGTGAAGAAAACAGTCTAATTAGAAAAAGTTATTAACAATTTGAATTGCTTTTAACCCATTAAATTTAATGGGTACTGTTAATACTCAGTATCTAAGAAAATCAGGCTAATTATTGAGAAGCATAAGGAAAGAATCCTGATAATATTTGCATATGTGAGTAAAACTCCAATGACATCAACTGGAATGCATACACATGCTTGCAGATTGGAGCTATAATATAGATTTAGATATACAATATTACAGACACAGACTGAAAATTTGTCCTAGTTTTTAACAAGATTTTTAATAATCTAAGGCACCATTAGTAGAAATAGGTAAGTAAATTAGAGTTTTAAAGAAGATATTATTTTAACCTAGTAATGCCCCTCCTTTAGAAACAATTATCACTAGGGAATCTGCATACACTTAAGTCATGTTTAAATTCTTTGAATTTATATACAAAATATATATCTCAATTGGAAGAAAAGATAAAGCGTTCAGTACACCAGACAGGAGGCAACAAGTTCATGTATTAAACGTTCAAGGCTGAAATATGAAGATCTTATTTTGGAAGTAGTTCTGCCCTGGCAGTGTAGTTTTGACTTTTGAAATATGCATATTTGTTGTATGAGAATTTACACAAATTTAAACCAGACTAACTAGAATCAATGTAATGCTCTGCTAGATATGATCAAAGCCATCAAAGTAATTTTATCTGTACTCTGTTAAACATATGTCAGCCAGGAAAAGTAGCATCCACCTTTATATTATGAAGAAAGCCAGTTCATTTATAATCTTTCCTCTAAAGGAATTCTGCGCACACAATACTTTAATGTTATGCACAATTTTGCATATTTTGTCAAAATAAAAGAATTAGACAATTTTTAATAATTTGCTGCTAAGTATGTTGAAATATTCAGTCGCCAAAATAATTGAAAATGGTGTAATTATATTGTTGTGTCTCTGGGTTATAAATAAAATATGTAGAACTTTGCAGAAATGTTTCAAATTTTTTGGCACATTATTTCTTCAATAGTACCAAAGTCCTGTGTGGTGGTGTTCGGATGAAAGCTGCTCAGCGGGAGTCTGTGTGTATGTGTGTGTTTGGAGGGTGGGATCTGGATGCACAGGGGCTCACTGTGGGGTTCTGGATATACAGGGAATGGGATTCTACAGGGGATTCTAAGTAAAAGTGGTTAGGGCTCAGTGGGGCTTGGTGGGCAGTCAGGACAGCTAACTGGGTCTCAGTGGAGTAGGGATCTGGATATGGTAGGCTCCTGATACAGGGTGGTGGGCTTGGTATTTGTTTCCCTCCATGTGCAGAATACATGTTGTTATATGCACCAATACATGTGTGTATGTGCACCACCAGGAGAAACACATGCTGCTGGCTGAGAGTGCTCTGCTAATCAGCTGGACGGCATCTGAATTCAGGGTGTGAATGCTTAACTGGTTAATCAGGAAGCATCTGTCTGACTGGGCGATGGTTACCAGTTATATGTAACCAATGGGGGAGCTGCTCCAGCCCAGTCTGGTTACAGTGGCCCTCCTGTCCACCCCCCATTTATGTGGTTAACCTGTTAAACCCAAATTTAACTGGATAACTGATTAAACAGAATTTTACATCACGAACTTGAATCTCTCTTTGGTGGCTGCCCAAGAGCTCAGCTTTACAGGAACACTGGCTCTGGTTAGGTCGGCTCCTTGAGGGCAGCGTTTCGGGTGCATAGACGAAGGCTGGGTCACTGTTACCCTTGTCTGCCTAACCCCATGCATCTGGACTATACCACTCACTCAGATCCCTCAGTATGCTCTCCTCACCCTACACTACGGAGCTTCTTGGAGCCTGGAGAAGTTTTTTGGGGTTGATCTGACCCACCCCTGGCTGCTCT